CCTTTAGCGCGAAGGAAAACCTTCACTGCGATCATTGAACATCTCTTGCTTGAAGTAGTCTCTCCACAATGGGTAGAGATTCACGTAGTTCTTGTAACTACTCGAAAACCGACGCCCTAGCGTGTTTTTCTTTCGAGTCTTATGCAGACGTTATGTTGTAGATATGTATAATATATATGGACATCATCAAAAAAATTACATAACAAAAAAATTACATAACAATATTCATAATTGGAACATAATAAATTCACATGTAATTGTAATGACATTGTTATTCTGATTTTATACTTAGAACTTGTTGCAGGGATTTGTTGATTAAACATGTTCCGTATGTTTGAATATCCAAAAGTATAATTGTAATTTTACTCTCGCTATTGTGCCCTTTTTACTTTTACATTTACGTGGATTTGTTCTGAGATATGTATACAGACACATGTAGCATATTTATACCTGCAACAAGTTCCAAGTCTAAAAGTAATGTACTACAACAGCTTATAAGTATACACCTAATTTTTTTTTGTACAATACCTATAAACAGCTATACACAATAATATCAAAGAGAAGGGGGAGGGGAAGTGATCTTGGTATGGATGATACGTATCCACAAGTAGCGGGGAGGGGGATCTTATTCTCTCACACATACCCACACACACCATTCAAATCCCCCACACACTAGATCACATTGACACACGTTGCTGAAAAAAATGTGATTTCGTCTCTCGCGGAAACACATTTCAACTTTCTTCAACATGCTTCATATCTCTATTGGAACTTTCTGTGTGTAAAGCGACAGGTCTTTTTCGCCAACGAGTAAACAAATAGTCTACTACATTTAAAATGAAATACAGTGTTTCCAATAGTCAAGATCTCACAGGCATCAATTGTTTATCCCTAAACTAAGCTTAGCTTTAAACCTAACACTAACCTTTAAATAATGCGAAGTTTTACATAAGTACTGTAAATAACTTAAACCTCATGACAAAGCCTAAACTCTAATGGTAATCGATAACAATTGATCGAAACCAGATCCGTTGATCGAGGAGAAATATTTCCCCGCCAAGAACCCAGAAACAGAACCTCACCACTGCCAATACATTTATAATGCCTCATTTTTTTTTAAAATGTGGTTCAAAACAAATAAAAATAAAATCATTTACAATTATTACTGGCCAAATCATTACGATTCTTCCCAAAACAAAATGAGAATCGATTACGAGATCGCCTAGTTCAAGCAGATATTTTCTAAATCCATAACTGCACATTAACCTCAGACTAATTTAGCTAACTGTTGAAAATTCATTGACCTGAATCTTCCTAAAAAAATATTTCACAGTCCATTTTTCTTGCTGAGTTAGCTCCTCTTTGATTTATTTTTATCGTGACAAAAAAAATCTATGTGGATTTATTTTTATAAGGGAAACAATCCATTTCATTGCATTAAACTAACCCCATGCATAAAACCCATTTCTCTTCCGTATATAGATTGCTACTACAAGCATAGAGCCGGGTATCTATTTGCGGTCAGTGCTTATTTCGTCTACCGTTGACGGATATAAGCACCGCCCAATTGGCGCTTAAAGAGTTTTATATTTAGATCGCGAGCTTACGTTCAGTCATTCTTGTGGCCATGTGACCACTGCAGTTTCATCGCCAACACTGGAATGTGTATACCCGATCCGGAATGGTGTGCTAAATATAGATATTGGTTAAACATCACGTGAAAAGCTAAAAATAGACACATGAACGTGGTGTATGTTATTTTCGAGTGTATAATAAAGGGGGGGGGGGAGTGAGTAGTCCTATTATTTCAAAAAAAGAGTAGGTTTGAGTTTTAATTAGGTGAACAACAAACATTGATTTGTTCGACTTGTTTTTCTAAGAATACTTTCAAGTTTATTTTACGTAAAATTATTTCATTTAACACTGTGTTCCTCGTAAAACACATATAAAATGATTGTTTACATTCAAGCATAGAACATAGTGAAACACCTAAGCTATGGTATCAACTGTATTAGTCTATTATACACTAACGTATTTTTTTATAAATCTGACTTAGACAATTTCAACAATATATTGTAGAATCTGGTACTTATACTGACCAGAATAATTGAATACACAAACGGCAGAATTGTACAGATATTCACGCAAAAAAAAAAACTTAAGTGATTTTCAATTTAAAAAGAAGTACAGTACACAAAAAATATCATATGTTCGTCCATAAATATAAATACATTTTTCTTGAAAGTTGTGACCGGTTGCTAACAAGGTAACTCTAAATGCATAAATTCACGGGCGACTACTCTATTTAAGGTGAGACACATTTCTCTCCCTTGTACATATTTTAATTTTTTTTTTTTTTTAAACTTCAAATAAGTTAGATCGTATGTAATACGTATGTAATATTTAAGTACACATTACTGTAATTTAAAAAAATTATTTATTTCGTGACCTCTTCTGATAAGAACATCAGCGACGCCTATGATTGAAGCATGCCAGTTGTGATGGCTTAACGCTGAGAAAACGACATCCCGCCCACGCCATTTCTGAATATCTATGGCGTCGTGGATTTCAAAAGAACGCTCTTAACCTAATCTTAATCGTCTGGTTTTCTGTATTTAATCCTGGAACAATCGGGTTATTTTTGGTAAGCCAAATCCGGAAGTAACTTTTTTTCTCCAATGGAAACGAGTAATTGATATTGGAACACGTTATAATGGAACTAGTTAATAAGCCATACCCACATAATCGTACAACGATGACTTTGTGTTAAGTTCAGATCTTACACAACTCTTAGACCTAATATTAACATCAGCCCGTGTATGTAGCTAGATAGTAATACACTAAATCTTATTGTTAAAAGTGTTTTACACAAAACTTAAGTACGGCTAATTAATATTCAACCTCATAACGACATCGTAGGTTTTATTTAATGTGTAATTATTAAACGAAACTAAGATTTGTTTTTTTTTAAACCACTTCCTTCTTCCTACACAAAAATGTAAAAAAAAGGGGGGGTGTAAAAAAATAGCTTAGAGAACTAAAATGGTTCCAATGTATCGTATTGAATGTTCATAAGCTGGAATTAAGGAGTATTTCTGGACGGAAAATATGGGGGTTTGTCTTCAAAACGGAAAGCAGAATTTTATCAATCTTTTTTCCAGCGCGATGGTTTATAAAATCGCTGGCATTGCGTAAGCGGATAAATTCCGGATGTCGGGTCGGAAAATGTTAGCCGTGACGTGGTCAGGTGTAAGTATAATGTGCTGTTGAGGCGGGGGTGTCTATAAAGGATGTCACGCGTTTTAAAGGGTGGGGGTTGTGACTTTGTTGACAAAAGTTGCAAGAATGATAAAAGAAAAGGTATTTAATTTGACACAGCATTTGTTGTTTTTCAAATTTATTTGTGGCTTTTAATTTTAAAACCTGTAATTAGAAATATATATATATATATATATATATATATATATATATATATATATATATATATATATATATATATATATATATATATATAATGCTTTTGTTTATAAAGAGGAGTGAAAAGTAAATGGAACAATGTGAGAACCTTTTAGTAGGTAGAGAGGGTATGACATTTTGTGAGGTTATATAACAACGATAGACAGGAAGTAGACGAAATAGCCTGCATTTCTTTATGAATGTCATCTCTACATATTACTGAGCAAAATAGTTCTCTTAAGAAGCACCCTTATCAGTAGTGTCACAACTTTCAAGTTATACCTCAACAATTGTGTCAACTGGCTTTAAGTTCAAAATCACAGGAACATATACAGGTACATAAGCCTCAAAGTACAACTAACAAACTCACATACACACGCATTCAAATTATGATTTTAATAGAAACACAGAATACGGATCAAATGAGAACAAAAATTAAAATGCGGACTAATTTTGATGGCAGTTAATTAATGAAAACAATAATGTGTCAGAAATGTGCATTTTAAAAAAATCATAAGAATGATACACATGGCTCATTATGCAAGATTAATAAATAACAAAAACACGGTTACAAAACTTAGTTCAGAAATAATAATTATAATAATGACAACAATAATAAATGCGTTGGCCTCAAGGGCAATGTTATAAAGCTACTATAAATAAATTTGTTCAACTCTCATTCATCGTAGTCTTACAACACTTTTTATTTTCACTGAATCTTTGTAATGATATATATATATATATATTTATATATATATAAATAAATATATATATATATATATATATATATATATATATATATATTATAAATATGCCATTATATCCAACTAATTCATTTAGCCACTAAATTCTACTTAAAATCCAGATATTACTTTATCTTTTCTATCTATGAATTATCTAGATAAGCCGTTATTTCTGCAACATAAGTGTATTGTTTTATATGATAAGTTTTCCATCTAACTCACTGTTACTTAATTAGCACGAGTTTTTAATTAGTTTTGCCAAATAAATCTTTTTTAAAACTTCACATTCAAATAATTTTGATAAAAGTATGGCAATTTAATCCACCTCCCCCCCCCCCCCCCCCCCCCCCCCCCAAATTCAACTTTTAAAAAATAAATGCGAGGTTGATGTTTTGTTTTTCTGAAGATAGCATCCACGTCTAATAATAGATAATACCACGTGACTGTTCTATTTATTTTCTGTTCTTATCCTGGCTTATACAAGTATTTCAAATGTTTCGCCCTAATAGCTCTAGGCTACATCTATTGCACTTAAAATAAAATGTTTATTTACAGTCCCGCGTTAACTATTCGAAATATTTCCTAGCGTCGTTTGAAACCACATAGATCTAGGACAGGCTGAAACCAAAGTCTGTGTTTAAAGTAGCAGTTTAAAATGTTGTCCAAATTAAACGTCACGTCAGTGTTTAATAGCTTCGACACCACACTCCCCCACACACATTGTACTCCCACTCCCACCCACAATGTACCCACCCACATACCCCTCCCCTCCTTCCATATCCCCACCCGTTGTTTTGCCAGCCTACCCCATTGGAAACTTTGTCTTAGTGAACTACTCGACTTTTTTTTTTAAATATATATATATATATTCTAAATATTTTCAAAACCATCGATAGTATCTTCATAGAAATAAAATATTTAGACAAATTACATAACCAAGAGTTTTCTTTTTTGTCTTTTTATCGAATTCTAATAACCAACGTCCGACACTCAATTAAAGGAATCACAAGTTATGGAAACTCATTTTCATCATATTTTATATTCTTACTACCAACTTCCGGATATTTTCGACCTCCACTTAAGAATGAATTACAGTACTATGGAAACTCATTACATCACTTTATATATTCTAATTTCCCCACGTCCGGACATTTCCGAACCCTGATTAAAGGATTTTCCTGCTATGGAAACTCATTTTATCATAATTTATATTTTAACCACGTTTTTTTCGATTCACCCACACATCCCCATTACTGACTTCCTAATCTTTTCTAACACTTCCATTCCTCCTCGTCTGTGTCAAACATCCATTAAAGCACTGAGTAGCAATAACGCAACAAGAAGCGCTTCATTAATGATTCATCGCATTAACGCTCATTTTGAAACTAAAAACCCGTCGAAAAGGAATCTAATAAAATATTAATCAGTCCGTAAAGAAGATATTAGCCAGGCTACACACAAATATTCAGAGTTGAAAGCGTATGCCTAATATACATCACTGGCCAGAACAGTTGGAAATATTTTACAGCAAAAAAATAGGCCAAATATTAGATCTGCAAATATACAAATACGATACAATAGGTTCTAATCTATTAACATATACGTTTTAAGACAAATTTATTTTCTTTTTTTTTTAAATCATACATCATATTTATAAACATCATCAAATTTAATCTTTAAAGAACGAAATTCAAATAATAATATTGTTTACATATACATTATATCTTAAAATACATAAATATGTAACTTAATTACACACAGTTCTTTTTTAAGCCAATCAACTTAACTGACATTTTAGACGTGTTTAATACTTGTAACAAAATACCATAGTAAATAAGAAACTGCGAGTACAAGAAATTACAATTTATCCTTCTTTAAAAAATATTGGACTCTATGTAAAAAGAAATCTTGAATTTATTTTTAGATGTTTTTTTTTTCTTTAGGCAAATGGAAACGTGTTTAAAAATTAATTTGTAATCTAATTTTTTTTTTAAATGTTACTTTCGTATTCTAATAAATAAACAAATCATTTTTTTCTAATAGTTGAAACATCAACTTAATTAAGGACTTGTACTGTTTAATCCATTAACCAACTTTAAGTTATCCAGGTAAGCACAGCAACTGTATCCACAGTAATTTCACATTTAGATAAACATATGGACGCTTCTTCGACGATGTGTCAAATTCGTTACATTTTTTTTCTTCAATGGCAGCATCACGCTTTCTTTGTTGACGGTACAGGACATGGCAAAGGACATGGAACAGGACAGGAATAGGACACAGCACAGGTATACTTATATGACTGGGGGGATTTTTTATCAGTTTTGTGACGTCATGGTCACATACACGTGAAAATGAAACTGTACATCCGAGCTACATTTGTGACGCAGAAATCGTGACGCAGAAATCGTGACGTAGAAATCGTGAGGCATCGGGTTAGGGTTTTGCTTGGCTTCTATTGGTTGTGCAGGATGCCCAGCAGATGAAGCACTGCCTTAAACTCGTCTTTCTCTATAACATTGTCTGCTGTAGAAGAATGTAAACAAGAAAGATGAAGCAAATGTCTTCAGTTGTTTGTTGTGCGACTGGTGGTTTTTTATGTTTGTTTGTTTTTTTATCACTTAAAAATTTTCTTTGTTGTTTTGGAACTTATTATATTGCAAAAATGTGTTGTTGTTGTTGCTGTTGTTGTTGTTGTTGTTGCTGTGTTTGTTTTAGCACTTATAAAATCATATTCTTTTTCAACGTTTTTTTTATTCCAGTGTTGGTGTTAAGTCCCTTACATCTCTCCAACGCGATTTAAATTACGTGTCAACTTGTTACGCGCCATATAGGCCGTTGACTCCGATTTTAACCTGCTTTTCTTTTTTATTTACTTCTATCGTTGCTTCCATTGCCTTTGTCCAACCAAGAACAACTACAAGTCAGCAGTTGCTTGATTTTAAAGTTGTCTCTCCTAGAAGAGTTGCTGTCCCCAGCTAACGAGCCTCATCTGCCCGAGGGTTCGAAATCGAGACATTTCGGTTTAGCAGCCATGAGCTTTACCGACTGTGCCACGCCGACCCCAATACAATCACCAAAATCTGTTGTTGTTTGTTTGTTGTTGTTGTTGTTGTTTTGTTTGGGGGGGGTATTTCTTGTGTGTTTAAAGACACTTATAAAATGGCTAAAATATGTAAACTTTTGCATTTTTTTAGGCTATCGTCTTTAGGATCAGGGTTAAGGTCAGAACTCCAGGTTTAATTCTGGTTCACGGTTAGGGCTGATGTAAGGAGCAGGGTAGGTACTTAGGATAACAGCATCGGGGTAGGATTATCTTCATGGCTAGTAGTGCTCCTCCTCGGTGCATGTCCTCCAACTACCTGCCCCCACATCTCCACCACTCGGAAGAGGTAGAAAAAATATTTATATAGAAATATATAATTTATACAATTTATTTATAAATAAACAATTTAACCAGTACTCCCCGCCCAGCCCCCCCCCCCTCCTCCCCCCTCCCCCCACCGTCCCTGTCCCTCAATAATTAAAATGTCAGAAAGATCCCCTAGCAGAAGTTATGTCCACGTTTAAGGGTAGTGATTGCTACTTGCTCCCAAAACCCCTTAAGAACAATGTAAAAGCAGAAAGAGATACTTACTATTTAAATCAAAAGTTCTAAACAATATGTCGCTAAAATTCGCCTCATTTTTATACCGCCCGTGTCTGAGCATTGCTTTATAAAACTTCGTGTGGTGGTCGGATCGCTTCGTCACCGATGGATGGTTTCTGTTTCTATCTGCAAAAATAAATGTATTGTATTTACAAAACTAATAATAACTCTATGTTTTTATATATCCAAATACGTCCCTATCTGCAAAAATAAATAAATAGTATTTACAAAACTAATTATAACTCTGTTTTTATATATCCAAATACGTCCCTATCTGCAAAAATAAATTAATTGTATTTACAAAACTAATTATAACTCTGCTTTTATATATCCAAATACGTCCCTATCTGCAAAAATAAATGAATAGTATTTACAAAACTAATTATAACTCTGTTTTTATATATATCTAAATAGGTCCCTATCTGCAAAAATAAATGAATAGTATTTACAAAACTAATTATAACTCTTCTTTTATATATCCAAATTCGTCCCTATCTGCAAAAATAAACGAATAGTAGTTACAAAACTAACTATAACTCTGTTTTTATATATCCAAATACGTCCCTATCTGCAAAAATAAATGAATAGTATTTACAAAACTAACTATAACTCTGTTTTTATATATCCAAATACGTCCCTATCTGCAAAAATAAATGAATAGTATTTACAAAACTAATTATAACTCTGTTTTTATATATCCAAATACGTCCCTATCTGCAAAAATAAATGAATTGTATTTACAAAACTAATTATAACTCTGTTTTTATATATCCAAATACGTCCCTATCAGCAAAAATAAATAAATAGTATTTACAAAACTAATTATAACTCTGTTTTTATATATCCAAATACGTCCCTATCTGCAAAAATAAATGAATTGTATTTACAAAACTAATTATAACTCTGTTTTTATATATCCAAATACGTCCATATCTGCAAAAATAAATGAATTGTATTTACAAAACTAATTATAACTCTGTTTTTATATATCCAAATACGTCCCTATCTGCAAAAATAAATGAATTGTATTTACAAAACTAATTATAACTCTGTTTTTATATATCCAAATACGTCCCTATCTGCAAAAATAAATGAATAGTATTTACAAAACTAATTATAACTCTGTTTTTATATATTCAAATACGTCCCTATCTGCAAAAATAAATGAATAGTATTTACAAAACTAATTATAACTCTGTTTTTATATATCCAAATACGTCCCTATCTGCAAAAATAAATGAATTGTATTTACAAAACTAATTATAACTCTGTTTTTATATATCCAAATACGTCCCTATCTGCAAAAATAAATGAATAGTATTTACAAAACTAATTATAACTCTGTTTTTATATATTCAAATACGTCCCTATCTGCAAAAATAAATGAATAGTATTTACAAAACTAATTATAACTCTGTTTTTATATATCCAAATACGTCCCTATTGCAAAAATAAATGAATAGTATTTACAAAACTAATTATAACTCTGTTTTTATATATATCTAAATAGGTCCCTATCTGCAAAAATAAATGAATAGTATTTACAAAACTAATTATAACTCTGTTTTTATATATCCAAATACGTCCCTATCTGCAAAAATAAATGAATAGTATTTACAAAACTAATTATAACTCTGTTTTTATATATCCAAATACGTCCCTATCTGCAAAAATAAATGAACAGTATTTACAAAACCAATAATAACTGTATGGTTTTATATATCCAATTACGTTCCTGATTACAGTAGTGAATGCATCTATCAAGATTCTCGCCATAGTTGTTTTTTTTTAAATAGGACTATTTTGTTTTATTTTAAATGTATACTTTGTGAAATTGTAAATTCCTAATTCAATAACTGTTTAATATGGATGCACATTTTTAAAGTGTTTAATGCGACCATCTAAAAAATGTGTGTAGTTGCTTATAGGGATATGAAATGTAGTATTTAATTATTTTTTTTAAAGTATTACTTTTGCGATTAGGGTCAAGGCTAGGGTAATGTTGAAGGTCTTGTTTTACTTCAATTAGTGATACCAGATAACAACTTAAATTTGCTATTCTTTCAAATAAATACTACGAAATAATGTACTTCTTTTGTTTGTTTGTTTGTTTGTTTGTTTGTGTTTTTTTTGTTTTTGGTGTTTTAAAAATCTGCCATGACTGGGCCTTACGCCAGTGCCCACTTAGCCCTTTTGAGAAGCCCGACACCCGTTGTGTAACAAAGAAGATGGGCTGATATGTGATTAATAGAAAAAAAATGTCAGCCATAAATTGTGGCGACTAAAAGGATTCAATCTCCTTAAAAGCTCGTAAAAATCTACTCGCTCTCATTCCGTTAATCAATTATTTATTTTTAAATTCTAAAATCACAAGCTTTGAATTTATAGCAGCATATATTACTTAATAAATATTCATCTTTCCTTACATAATATCTGTAAATATTTCACTTTTTTTTTTAAATGCACCTCCACTAAACATATTTTCATCATACATTCAAAACTACATGTTTTATGTCTCCATAATATCTGCAGATATTCACCAAAGGTCTTAAAACTTCATTAAATGTCTTCAGTTTTTTAAAAAAAACTCCTCACCTCCCTCGAATAATTAACTTATATCTTTTCATATTTTCTGCAAATATTCCATCAATTTAAAACAAAAATTTCAAATGCGACTCCAATAAAAACGTGTCCCTTTAACCAGCATAATTTGACTTCATTTAAACGTGTATCTTCTCTACAACATCCGCAATGTTCCATCAACTTTTAAAAACCTTCACCTCCCCCCCTCTTCCTTTACTAAACTCTTTCCTCATCTGAACCCTCTACGTCTTCCCGTTTCTCTCAATTTCCTGAACCTAACCAGTTTGTAAGGTTTCCAATTCAGACGAGCGTTTGACTCGTCACCGGTGTGGCCCTGCTGATGACCCAGGGGCCAAGAAGACAGTCCGAGTCACTCAGCGATTGTTCCATGGCCCTCAACAACCCTCTGAATTTCAGGATAATTTTTTTTTCAGTTTCACAAATTGACACGAATGAAGTTTTAAAAAAATAATAATAAAGGTCGCAGTTCACCAAAATGCTGTTGTGAAAATTTGTTTCGAACAAGTCTTCATCCAGATAAAAGATAAAACAGATGAACAACATCTTTATCTAAGCCGCGATTACCAGCTGACACGTGAAAGGTCTCCGCCCCCCGCGTTTTTATTTGAAAATCAAAGGACAAGTCCTTGAATACTGTCAGGATTTTAAAAGTTTTTTTTAACAATTTTTTTATTTGTTTTTACAACGTGAAAACAGCACAGATGGTTCATTTTTATCAACATTTTCTACGGTATTTTACAGGATTTTAAAGTATTTTGTAGTAATTTACGGTATTTTACGGTATTTGGTTTAAGATTAACAAACTTGTACAGAAGCAAGTTAGCTTATAATTACAGAGCAATACCAATTTAAGATCTGGATTTGTTTGTTTGTTTTTTGACATGGAAACATAGCTGTTCGAGAAAATACTAAATGAGGATTTTATTTGTAAAGGATGTTTTGTCTCTTTAAAATATTCAAATGCGGTGCATTTTAAAACAAATTGCGGCTCTTTCACCAATCACGTGCAGTATTCTGAATAACCAAATGCGATCTTCAGATGCATAAAATGCTGTCCTGAGACTGATTCACTGAACCCCTAGGGTTCGAAAGAACCCAGGCTAAGATCCGCTGATGAGGGCTATGTTTCCATTGAGTGTATGCCATACCAGCTGTTGTCAAGCCACGTAGTTCTGTAGCTATGGAAGTGAGTGGTCTACAGAGTTTCTTCCAGACTTTTTTCTTCGGGTGGCATTTGATATTTCCGGATGGGGGGGGGGCTAAAAATTTTAATTTTACGGGGGGGGGGGGGGGACTGAGGAAAAAGTATGTTTTCTATATAAATTCCATTTCGTTCGTGGGGCGGTAGACTTTCTTCGCCCCCCTCCCGCTCCCCCTGAAGAGATGCCTGAAAGAAACACTGGTGGTTTACAGACCTTCTTCTATCTCACTATCTCAGTATAAAATGGACTCGGTGACATTTTCCATTAGTGTTAATCCGGAGATTATCGATTCTTTAATCTGAACTTATGCAATAGTCACTTCCACTTTCACAGCTTAAAGATACATGGCACTATTTATTTCTTCTTGGTGAATTTCAAAACACAGTACACAATATTACAGTGTAGATTCATTTTTCATTTATTATTAAAGATGAGATATTCAAAATCTGTAACTGGATATTTTTAGTGGGATAATTCTTCGGAAGAACTAAATGTTAGACAAGATATTGAACACCATACAAAATGTACTCATGATGTAGGCCTATATGTTAGACAAGACATTGAACACCACACAAAATGTACTCACCTAAATTTTTGACTATACGCTGCAGCGTCGGCGCGCGTTGAGAAGTTGTGGAGGGGAGGTAAAGGGCGTAGCTCAACATAGTAAAACACACGAGAATGAGGCACCAGTAGTTTAGCAAGTCGTGCAGTAGAGCTGGGGGGAGAAGAGAGAAATACATGGTCAATATATGAAGGAAAAATACATGTTAGGGTCAATAAATACTAGTGGGGTCATTGTAGTTGTACCATTTGTTGTCGTATAGCTGGAGAAAGGAGAAATACATGTGAGGGTCAATACACGTAGTAGCGCTGAAGGAGAAGGGAAATACATGCAATAAATACTAGAGATCATTGTAGTTGTGTCCTTTGCTGTCGTAGAGCTGTAGAAGGGAAAATACATGTTAGGGTCAATACACGCAGTAGCGCTGAAGGAGAAGGGAAATACATGTTAGGGTCAATATAAGTTCATCTTTATAGTTTTGTCTTTTTTTGTCATTACTCTTGTGTCATATTGAGTTATTCCTTTTATTATTTACACCTTCACAATCCCCATAACACACTACTTCAACTCTTACATCACCCCTACTATTACACCCTCATTACCGACAAACACACATGATACACACCTACACACATGAACGAATCCACGCCCTCACAACCGCCACACTCGCACTCCATCCCACACTCACAACCCACCCCCACATTCACACCACCCAATGCTGTAAATACGATCATTTCTCCCATTGCTCAATACCGAAAGTAGATATTAGATAGAAGTAGGCAGGTGGGTATAGT